GAAGATTTCACATTTCCACTCCTCCACTTCCTCCAGATTTCCATATTTCCACTTCCTCCTCCTCCTCCACTCTTCCATCCTAGAATGGATATCCTATTATAGAAATAATCAATCCATTCCTTCTCCAGTAAGTTTCATTCAAAAAATATAGAAAACATTAAAAAAATAAGTCAGGTCTCACTATTCTGGCACTGATAGCATCATAATTCCCTTTACTGTTATCATCTTTATCCTCACAGCCACGATACCACCATGATCACATAATCCTTTTCATAACACTCATATAAAAAGAGAGATGACAATTTGGGCAGAAATGGTCTGAAGAAAGAGTGGAGGGCAAATACAAAGAATATCAGTAAAGTTTGAGCAAGTATGTAGAACCTCTTTCCTGGAGGTTGGATAGATTAGTAGCAGGGTTTTTTTTTCCTAAGATCTGTGATTACCTGGCTGCTGTTTCCTACCACTACAACAAGTGAAGGAATCACCCATCAGTTCCAGACTGGAGTGTGTACAGAGGGTGCAGAACAAACTTGAATATAGAGATATTCAACTTCAGCTTGCAGTTGCAATGGCTGGAGATGACAAGAACGAATTAAGTATCAAAGTACTGCAAGCAACTCCAGAGAGAGTGAAGACGAGGAAGAGAGAGAGAGAGAGTTCAGCAGAGCTTGATCTATGACACTTACTTTCCTTTATCTCACCAAAGTAATGTGCACGACTGGTTTTCAAGGCACTGATATGAGAAGATGAGTTTTAAAAACTAGAGGGTAAGTAGGACACACAACACCTTGTACATGCTGAATTTGTATAACTTCTCCAGGCAGCAGGCAGGCTATTATGACTTTATTGTTTCAGGATATAAGCCTATTATACTCTGCAAATGAATACAGTGACATTTTGCTGTATCGGTTGAAAAGATTAACAGTTCACAAAGCAAACTGCCGAGTGCGGCAAATTAAATACATTAAAATGTGCAAGCTTAAAATTCTGTACTCCCTGTGCTATAAACTTATATACAATACAGTTTAAAGGGTCTCAGTGGCTCAGTTAATAATGCAGTGGCCTGTCAGCTTTCTGGATGCAATTTAAGTCTTTTAGGTTGCAGTAAGCCATGACAGGGTGTGTTTTTCTCAGCCATTAATGAGTGCTGTAGGTAAATTGTGCAGTAAGAAGGTAGCCCCAAGGTATATTAGTGTCACAGTAAATGTGCTAGGGCTATTTTAGATGTTATTATTAAGAACAAAAAAATGGTATTTTGGATAAATATCAAACGGCTTAAAAGTTCATTGTGGAGAAGGACTGGAACATTCTGAAACACCTGCAGACTGACCATGAGAGATTTAGCCATTTTTGTCATATTACTTGTCATTTTAAAATATTTTCTCTACTAATGCTCATCTGACAGAAGAACTAGGCCTAAGGACTCTCTGTAATTTCAATAAAATTAACATTAAAAAGACCACATACTCTTATGAGTCCCAAGAATTTAACATGAAGTTTCCTCCAGTAGCTAAAAGAAACAGTCTTCAACATAGGAGACACAAATATTTCAAAACAAAAGGCTTGACCTCAGCTAATATTTACTGCCATTAATATGGATAGAAATGCCCTGTTTCCTGGGGCAACAGCTCCAAATAAACCATTTAAATTCCCACACAAAATCCATGGGTCTTTAGGCTAAAACTCTTCAGTAAAAGTAAAAGAGAGTGGTGTTGAGGAATCAGATTAAAATGCTTACACAACAAATCCAAGGAGAGACACAGAAAATACTCAAGGCTTCAATTTGAAAAGACACTCAAGATTTTGTTTACATTTAGTCCTTTAGGATCAATCTGTTAAATTTCCAGGTTCTGAAAAGGGTTATTTTTAACAAGTAGAGAGATGGACGGATTCTATCAAATTGAATCAGTGCTAGAAAATTATGTTCACAGAGTTTTTGCATTTATCAAATACTATCTAGAAGTTCTTATCCCAGCTCTGGGTCTAGACCACAGCTGAAAAAATGTGTTAGCCAGAACAAGAAGATGGAAAAGCCATGGGAATAAGTAGGTTTGTGAAATTACTTTCCTAATGTCATGAAAGTTCAGATTTGGTTCTGTTGCCTAATCAGACAGAGGATTTGGCTTGCAGCAATTCTAGCCATGCTGAATAGTTACATGTTCCCCTAAATATTACTTAATATCTCTTGAGTATGTGGATAAATCCTTTTCCCCATTCTGGCTTTAATTGTTCTAGTTCAGCAACACTGACACTGTTGACTGGTGGAAACTTGCATTTTGCAAGGATGAAATAGAGCTTGGCAGATCCTCAGCCACTTTCATAATCCCCTGCTGCCACCCCTGATGTTGGTACAAAAATTTCTTGAGATTAAGAGTTTGTTGAGTACAATTTGGAATTCTAATAATTCTGAACATGTCTAAGTCTGGTTGTCCAGACTGTGTCAAAAATTATGCTCCTACAGTATTCCTGAGTTTAACTATCCCAGCTGCCAGGATGGTAAGTCTGGCCCAAGTATCTTAATTTCATTTCAGCAGAAATCAGGACAGTCAAAGATGGTCACCAGGTGAGTCCAGGCTCAAGAATTGGCATGATTCTCAGGGTTTTCAATTTATATGTTTTCTTATATACCCAAATAATCTAACCTACATCTAAGAGTGAAACAACAGAAACTATCTTGAAAGTTAATTTTCCTTTTTTTAAAATTTGCCATGAATCCACAGAATCACAGAATAATCTGAGTTGTAGGTAACCCAGAGGGATGATTTAGTCCAGCTCTTAGGTCAATGGCTCATACAGGGGTGGAACTCACAGCCTTGATGTTATCAGCACTGTGCTCTAATGAATTAAATTAATCTGGGTTAATTTTTGCTCTGATTAGGGTATCTATTTTATATTCTATCCCTGTCCCTGCCATGTGAACAGCCATGACCTAAATGAGAGTTAGTGAGTGGCATGACCAAAATTTTCCAGACCAATTTTAAAATATACTTATGAAGTAAGAATTTCTATGAAGTTGATAACAATTTGGATTAATTTTGTCTTCAGTGAAAACTTAAAAGAATGGATTTACATAGAAAATGTTTAATGTTTCTGACAGAAAAAATAGAAAATAAATGCATTTTTTACTCTTCCACTAAAAGGTATTTAACATTTTCCTCTGCAGTCCTAAGGTTTGCTGAACCCTGTGAGGACATTCTGTGTGTCTTCCCATAAGGATCTCTTTGACAACATTTTTCAGATGTCCAGCCTTACTGACTGCAGCTTTAAACCTCAATTACCTGAATGCAGCTTCCTAGCACTAGTGCTGGCTGCCTCTGCCAGGCCTCACTGATCTATATTAGACATCCTAGTCTCTGTCAAAAATGCCACCTGACAAATTTCATTAAATTTATGTACAGTAGGATTCTGAGAGAAGACAGAAGACACAGCTTACAGGAATCCTTTGGTAATCAGTTCAATGCCTTTTTTTTCTATATGGGGTTCAGCAATTTGAGTCAAGTTTCTAAAAGATTTTCTAGGATGTAAAGTCATGGTACTATACAGAAACTATTCCAAAATATATGCATAAGTTTAGCTGCATGAAACACGAGTTTTGTCTATGCTTGTAATGACTTTTTTTCATGTGACTGACCTTTGCACAAAGGCCTACAGGATTATCTGCAAAAACTGATAGAATTTATCACAGAATTTTACATTGTCTACTTTTTTTTATTTTAAAAGCAAGATGAATTTTTTATTACTGTTGGATACCCATCACAAAATTTTAAGTTTTAACATATTTGCAGAAAGGCTGTCATTCCTCCCTATGTATTTATATATTTTTAAGAAAAGATGGCTTAGAATCTGACTAATTTTGACTTTTTCTACCAGTTAATGTTGTAACCCTTGTACTTCATATACTTTACTTATATAAGAGGTGTGCAGTTTGCTTTGGGGGAGCAGTGATGGTAATTCTTGAACTAAAGTACTATTGTAGCTTCTAAGGATGAAAAATTGTCTAGTGAATTTTATACATGTTTTTTCAAAATTCAGAACGAAGAAATATGAATATAAAAAGGTATCTAAGATAAATTTTAAGAAAATCTGGCTAAAATTAAGTTATACTGATGATTATGAGGATGATGAGGATGATGATTATTATTACTATTCATTTTTAAATCTTATCAATGTTAGTAGAAACCTGTGTTCCTGTACTCTTACATCGAGAGTCTTCAGTACACAAACATTTAAAGGAGAGGAGAAGTTTAGAGCTTCTTCCTTAAGAATGGTAATTTTGCACTGATACTATGCTAATGAAAGCAGCTTCTCTCCTGGAATAACTCCAGCTACATTGATTTGCAAGGATCTGATCCAGCACTCAGAAGAAGAATCAGTATAAGGCAGAAGGAAGAAAAACAGAATTAGGGAGTTGCACAGAAAAAAGGAGCTCAAACAGCAGAAGAAATAATCAAAAATCAAAATTACAAAGTAACTACCTTGTGTCAAAGGAAACCTACTTTGTTCCTACGCTATGTTCCTAAGTCAATGGTAAATCTCTGTTTGGCACCAGGTTTCTGATTTGGGGATGAAATGTTTGTCCCAGTGATTTTAAATTATCTTTTATCTATATTTTTTTTTCCAGTACATGAAATCTAAAGTATCAGTTCTTACTTTTGTAAAGTAGCAAAGATCTCAGATCTTCTCTAGATATTGTCCAAATTGCTATTGTCTCCCATCATACCTCTACAATGCCTCTTATTTGATTAGCAAATAAAAGAACTTGAGTCTTGCCAGCAGTTGAAATAAATTATGATTTTTAATTGCTTTTTACTCCAGCATGATTTCTATTTGGGTTTCAGCTGGATGGAATTTACTTAAGAACCAAAGTCTTATTGCAGAAACTCAGCTTGTTTTGATTTAAGCATCTCCCAGAGGCTTTCTGCTGTGAAAATGAAGCCTGATAACAGTGAAAATCTTGGCTCATGCCAGAAGTCTCCAGCTAGATCTTTGCCATGAATATGATATCCTGGAACTCATGATGTTAGATGTAAAGCTCATTTTATTAAATTATTCTGCTTTCAGCAAGGCAAAACACTTCAGCTGAATTTATATTTTCCAGCTAAATCTATGGGTCATTTGGAAAAAAATATTTTTCCTTTCTGGGAATATTTCTCTTCCGAAAATTTAACAAAAGGACGTTTTGTTTCTAACTGCATCGACTTTTTTTTTAATTATTATTAATTTCAGACAAGAGTCCTGAACTTGAATGTTCCTGAATGAGGGACACCTTTTGAATGTGCCAGGAAAAAGGCAGCTGCTTGTGGTATGACTGGACAGGTTAGTACGGGAAAAAAGAAGAAATTCATACATATAAGATGAAAATCATAAGGTGAAAAGAAACATTTCTTCTTTTTTTCTCTAGGAGAGATTTCTAATCTTAATACAATTTATGAATCATGGTCAATGCTACTCTGAGTCAAAAGACTTTACACGAGAGTTTGTGCTGCGTACAGCCTGCATATTCTTTACTTGAAAAATCACTGTATGGCAAAAACCTGACATACTTTCTAGATCAAATACAGGATTCATAAAAGCTGGTATTCTCTATCAGCTTTAGAAGACACCTTCAAAAGTCAAGGATGTGATCTTTTACCAGTCTCTTCCTGAAGAATGTTTCAACTATAAATTGTGTAAGCCTTTTAACTCTACTTGTAATTCTGATGGAAATGGAAATAAGTAGTTTTATTAGCTTGAGTTTAAAAACAACTTAACTGCAAGAAAAGGGTTATTTATTCACACACATGACACAGAAAATGCTTTGGATTAAAGTACTTTCATTACAAAAGAGTTGGAAAGGTAAAATAAAATTAGGTTCAGCTAGATCATTTTAATGTTTGATTATCACCCACTGAACTGGGATAAAAATTTTTGTGCCAGAACTGGTGATAATAGGGTTACATACCCTCTGTAAAATAAAATGTGAAATTTACATGCAAAGTGGTGTGTTCTCCTGCTGCACACATATAGCTCCCATTAGCATTAATGGGAAATATATGTGCCTATCAAGAAGAAAATATACTCCATTAAATTCCCAACCATCATGTCAGTTTCTGACGTCTTCTAATAAGATCTATGCTCATACTGCAAAAAAAAAATGAATAACTCTGCTCATATATACTGGGTTTCATAGGTAGATCTCAAAGGATTTTATGAAGAATAAGTCCATGCAACTCAAAGATACCTGTGAGGAAACTGGAACTTCAGTTATGCCTGTGGAAATCAGTGCCTGGCAGGCATACCCCAAAAATCCCTGCAACAGATACGGAAAGCAAAAGAGCATAGAAGTCAACACAGGTGAATATAGCACAACTCATCACAGATCAAGTATGTTATACACAAAACTAGCTTCTTTCTAAAACCCTATGCCCTGGCTAAGTTCCAAATGCCCATCCAGCTTCTCACATTGCTCCTTCATGGGATGGTGCAGGGGTGGAGATGAATAGGAACAGAAAACTTATTGATTCAGATAAAGACAGAAATTGCTTATAAATTACTGCAACGGACAAAACAGACTAATTTGGGTAAAAATTAATTTAATTTATTGGTAATTAAAATAGATTTGGCTGGTTAAAAATTAAGACACCCATTAAAACAACACCTTTCCTTTCCTTCCTCAATCCGAACTTCACACTTTTATTCCTGACTTTTCCCCATTGCCCTAAGTGGCACAGAGGGGATAGAGGGTGGAGGGGGCTATGGTTTCTCTCTGCAGATCCTTTGTACACACATTTTTCCCCTGCTCCAGTGCGGGTTTTCCATGGGCTGCAGATCTTTAATGAAATTCCCTCCTGCTCCAGCATGAGATCCTCCACAGGCTGCAGCAGAGATCCTGCAGGAGTGCCTAAGTGCCTCCTTTGCCTTTGCCTCTGCCTGTCACTGTTGGACACAAAATGATTCACACAGACACAGCTCAGTGTGTGATAGGAAAAAAAGAGTGATTTATTCTGTGGCTTCAGTATTTATAGATTCTCGACAACGGCAGGGATTGGATAGTCAGGTTACCACCTTCCTAATCACACTGGTCATGAGAAACGTCCATCAAAAGACATTTCTTTAATGGAATGTATAAACATCTATGTTGATAGTTACTCTCCTGGGAAAGTGGCTAGAAATTATGAAAACAAGATCAGAAAGTTGAATTCTCAGGGTGACTTTTGCCTTTGGCTTTGCCTCTGCTCCTGCTCCTCCTGCTGCAATGGGTCTGTTTGCACTGCCCCTGGCCTCTTCCCACAGAGGACACTTCTGCAGCCCTTCTGCTGCCAACACCTTGGACATTTAAAGCCAATACAGAAGCAAAGCACGTAGATCAGGATTTCTGTGTTGTGCCAGGTAGATGTATTCCTTAAAGCAGCTGGACCTACTTCAAGCTGCACCCACTTCTGGCTAAGGCTGAAGTTTTCAGCTTCAAAAATTTGGTAAGTATCTGGGCAAATACACTCTCCAAGAGGCTGAAAATCCCATGCATATTTTATGCCCACAGGTTTCCAGACCTTTGCTCTGACTGACTCACAAAGTAATCTGTTCTCAGCATACACATTTCTTACCAGTAAATTTAATTTTTCACTGGTTAGAAACAGACCATTTCCAATGTGAATATGTCTTGTGTAAAGGACTGTGACACTAAAGTCTTATCCTGAAGTAATGAAATTGCAATATAAGATAGGATATAAGGTGTTATAAATAGGCATTCTGGTTCATATCACTGACAATGAAGAGAAAGGATATCTAGATGAGACATGGACTAAGTAGTTTGGCAGGAAACATGGAAAATTAAATGGGTTGCTGTGATTTTTTCAGACATTAGAGAAAATATGATGTCATTTGTGCTATTAAATAAAAAAGGCAATCTATAAACACATATCTACAGAATATCAAACCAAAAATAACTGATTATTAAAAAAAGTCTGGTTATTCAACAATCTTTAAGTGTTCCTTTATGTGGAATCCTACTACTCTAATTCTGACTCTACTGTGAAATATAGAAAAAGGGAGAAGCAAACATTTCCTTCATAGATTTTATTTTATATTAACATACTGGCAGATTATTTGAAATAATCCAAACCAAAGAGGAAAATTCACTAAACTGTGATTTCAAGTCTTGTATTATTTTTGTATTTTTCTCGTTCCTTTGCCCTACCTTTTTCAAATTGCATAGATTTTTACATTTTATCATTTATAACAGAATAAAACCCAAATGTCTTAGGGCAAGAATCTATGAAGTAGGCAATGTCCCAAGAACAGAGAGTTATTTCCTTTCTTCAACATCTTAGCCTTCAAGGAATTGATTTTAGCAGCATGACAAAAATAGCTCAGGAAATAGGTCCAGGCTCTGATGTAACACAGCAGTTCTGTGATTTCAGCAGAGATATGCCAATTCACACCTGCCAGGAAATCTGGCCTTCACCCCTGAAGTGGCAATTACAAGATGTATATCGCTTCATGATGAGATTTATATTATCAAGCACATTCTGTGGAGTTTTCCTTGGTAGCTTCAGGGGAATAGATATTTACAGATGAGTCATTGACATGTCTTGAGCTATCACAGAATCTCGAGAGAATCATCAACCTTTTCTTCACAGCAGAAAAGGTAAGAGAAGTCACATTTTCTAAAGCTCTAAAATGTTTCTGGTTTATTGAAGATCATGTCCTCTACACTCTTTCAATTCTTATAATTAATATATTTGGATAATAATTATATTTTATGCTTATATATCAAGCTTCTGTTGCAAATTGTTTAGGTGACTATGTCATGATCCATAATTATTTTCCTTTAAAAAAAGGACAAAAAATGGATTATGTAAAAAATCTACAAAACACCATAAAGACAGAATGAAAGAATACCAGTAAGGCAAAAAAGACAGAAGTGGAAGGTTTTTAGAAATGTTGAAAGTCCTCATTCAAATGTCTCCCAGTACTGAAATAATGGTCTTTTCTTATATTTGTATCTGTTTTCTTTGTAAAGGTCTTCATAACCTTTTCTCCTTTGTAGTTCAACATTATTAAATCTCCTACTGAAAAAAAAACTACAGCTAGAAGTGTCAATGAATATATGTTTCCTTTGACAAATTCCAAAGTACATCTGAATTATGTCCTTCAGATTTTCGAGTCTGTAATAGTGGATTTGGCAATCAAATGAGATGGTTTTCAGATGCAACTATTGCTCTAGTAGCATATGTGCCAGACAAAATAATCTTTTACTATATGTTGAAGTACATGTTCTTCTTTCCTTCTCAACACATAACTTTAAATATAGATTAAACACTGTGTTCTGAAATTTTTCTCAAAGCCATATGAAATAAATGGCAATTATATATTATTTTTACCCAAATATACTTATTTTCCCAAATTATTGACAAAAAAGAACTACTGAAACAGGTGAAAAACTGCTAAAAGTCTCAAAGCAGTTGTTGTCTGCCTGTAAAATGGAATTTTAGAGAGATTAATGGGTCATATAAGCAATCCTAGTCTACTTACAACAGAGAAAGTAAAACAAAACTGAATGTAAAACAAGCCCTTAGCTGACTAAAAGCATCTTGATTCATAATTTGAAGCACTGTGAGCACAGGTCAGATGTGGATTTCAGCCTGATCCAACATGTCATTTGACTATAACTTCTCACATTTTATCCGCTATGAGGCTCTAATTTTCATTGATTAAAATGATTTTCCAGAATACTGAAGAAAAGAATAACAAAATTGGAAACTTTGCAATTTGTCATATTAATGAATGGAGTATAATTAATAGCAAGAAAGAACTGAGACACAGTACAATAACTCAATTCATCACAATATCAGTAAGTCCATTTAGTAAAGCAGAATAGAGGGAAATTACAGGCTTCAGAAATATGGGAATTCATATGAACATCATGAGAGTCTAATATTTGTGTGAATCAAAATAATAACTGTTCTGGATAATGGAAGGAAAAGGAAGGTAGACATGCAGGGTTAACATATAAAGCAAAATTTCAGAAAAAAGTGCCAATTAGAAATTCTACACTTAGACATGACTTTAAAACTATACCAAGTGAAATTAACCTTAGGGTGTTGCAAAATGTCTCACAAGCTTTGCAATTATAAGTAAAATAACATGCTATCCAATAGGAAATTGGAAAATGTCTGTCAGAAACTCTGTCTCTTCTGGACTGATGTTCTTGCCTTCATTGATGTGTGGTCTCTTGAATTACCTAACTATGTATTTTCTGATAAAAAGAAAATACCCAGAAAAGGGAGAATGAGGACTAAAAGAAAAGAGAACGTTATTTAATTTAAAATCTACCCTTCCTTTTTATTTTTATCTGAAAATGTAACAGTTAAAATAGTTGCTGAAAGATAAGAGGTGGAATTAATTTATCTTCTAAATGAAAGATTATATCTGGCACCTCCTGGAAGTGCCCTCTCATCCAAGGTTGAACTAAGAGGAAAGGTATTTCTAAAAGTTTTTTCAAGGCTTTTCCATTTTGCACAACTTAAAGCAGAAGATTTATCAGACCAAACCAGAGCAAATGACCAGAATTCCCCTGTCCTTGACTGCTGTCTATAAGAATGGGGACGAAATTTTAAATTCATCTCCAAGAAGAAGCTTGTGGGTTTAAAGCAGTTTTTACAGTGAATATTTGCATGGTTGCCCAGCAAGGACTGTCAATGTGATCTTGACTATCATGGATGAT